AAAAGTGCTGGAGAAGAGTGGAAAAAACGGAACCCTTGTGCACTGTTGGTAGGATTGTAAATTCGTGCAGGAACTTTGGAAAACAGTATGGAGATTCATCAAACCATTAAAAATAGATCCGTCATATGATCCAGCAATTCCATTTCTGAAGGGAAAAAAAACCCAATCAATCAAGCAAAGAAGGAACATATCAGGCAGAGTTAGCAGCACAAGGGATGATGTGGGGACATGAAGAGCATGAGGTACACAGAAAACTACTGTAGTCTATGTGGGTAGAGCATAAAGTACAAGGGCCCAACGTGAGCGTGGATAAGTAGGTAGACCATGCCCAGCCTGTACATTATACCAAGAAATTTGGACTAATAAGCTATGTTGGGGAGCACATGAGACTTGGTGGGAAAGTCTGGAAGGAGGACATTCCCTTACAGAGAAAAGGGAAGCATGCTGAAGGCAGCCTGTTTATGGCACCCCTAATTATTCCTTAACCTTTCCAAACAAGTCTGTGCATGTGCAGACCCCCGGGTGTTTACAGGAATCTTTATGCTTAATCTTTGGGTGTCCTTGCTTAAAGGACACTGCAAACACATGTGTTCTCCCAAGATTACCTACACTACTGATTGTATGTAAAAGATGAACTTCATCTCAAACTGCTGTCACAATAAAAGCCTGACCAGGCAGGCGATCGAGGCTGTCTGGTTCCTTTAGCCAGGCAGTCCCTTAGCCTTCTCTTTTACAGCAATCCTGTGTCAGGGTAATCATTCATCCATTGCTCGGGGTCTGCTGGTCAGCCCCAGCAAGCTCTCCGAAGGAAAGACAAGTCATGTTGGTGTTTCAGATGGATAACTCTGGGTAGAGTATAGATGAGACAGTAATAGAGTACAAGAATGAAGGCTGGAGGCCATTGCAATCAGTATCATCTTTGAACTCAGGCCAGTGGAACTCCTGCCCTAGCTCCCACACTTTAAAAGGTGGTGCTTGGCCCTCCTCTGGGAGTGCCTCTCTCCACTAGATGGGGGATTTTCAGGGCTGACAGGATGAGTCCATTGAGGGCTCCTCCCCCACCCGATTTTGTCTGACTGGTTGGAGAAATGGCAAGATAATAAATGACCAACCACAACACAAACTTTAGTTTGTTTTTAATGCTTTATCTCCAAAGGTAATAAATTAAGGAGAATTGCAGATAAAAGTCTTTAAATTAGCTCAGACACACATTAACGGTGAGGGTACTACAGATATACACTGTGAATAATTCTTAACGCACAGAAAGTAATTTGTCATTGATAATTTAGGCCCACAACGTGAGTGCTTAGATTCTTTCAGTCTTACCTTGGCACTTTGGAAATGGATCAGCCCAAACCATATCCTTTCCTTCATAATAACAGAAAGTAGAATTTTCACCAACTAATTTGTACCTAAACAATGAGAGGGCAAGAAAAGTTGAGTTCTCTTAAATTCTCCAGAATATCATCTAAAAATATTCACTATACCAGTAGATGGAGACAAAACAATAGTTGATGAAAGTTCGTATGGTAGTTTAAAGAAAAAGAAAAAAATTAAATGAAAAAAAGTGACATCCAAAGGATAAACAATTATAAGACATGCAAAACATTTCTTATTTGGGTGGGGCACATTTCAGAAAATATTAAAGTATTTTAAAACATTTTAAAATTATATAGCTGCTTGAATATTTTCTATTTCTGAGTTCTCAAAGATCAAAACAGGCTTCATAGAATAATAGAATACACTTACACTTAAAGGGTTCAAAGTACCCCCAGATTTGATATTAATGATCTAAATATCTGTGTTTAGCACAGGAGATAAGTGATACTGATATTATTTTATAAAAATGGACATACACATACAGAGTAAAATATCATAATTCAATTGGCAAATATTAAATGGGAAAATGAATATAAAGTTTTCAGCGGTATCTGAGACACTTAGAATATTCAGTGAGCGAGTCCCTTTTCTCTAAATAGAGAACTTATAAAAAACCTTGGTCAGATGATATTGTGACACTAGAACCACATGTTTTTAACCTAAGATATTTTGTAAGATTCTTTGCATGTAAAAAACATATTAACATGATCTCACTCATTTGTGGAATATAATGAACAACACAAACTGATGAACAAAAACAGAGACAGAGAAGCATCAATCAGATGTTCAAACCTCAGAGGGAAGGTAGGGGAGGGTGAGGGTAAGGGGGAGAGATCAACCAAAGGACTTGTATGCACGCATATAAGCCTAACCAATGGACGCAGACACGAGGAGGGGTGAAGGCATGAGTGAGGGGGTGGGGGGATTATGGGGGAATAAGAACACATATGTAATACCTTAATCAATAAAGAAAAATAAATAAATACATGCTAAAAAACATGCAAATTTATTATTTAGGTAAATTAAAGATTGGTTTCATTTAAATCTTGCATTTAATTTCTGCAAGTAATTTCCTTTACCAATGACATTGAAATTTTTATAATGAATCACATGTACCGAAACCTAAGAATTTAGAGAATTTGGTGGTATAAAACATCTTCCTTTCTTAGCCCATTTTACTAAATTTAACTGTGATAAGCTTATGAGGAAAACCTTTGAGGAGAGGGATTTTTTTATTGCTACTAGCTTGTGAACACTGTCCATACTTCTAAAAATCTCCATCTTAAATTCTAATTTGTTTTTTCACTTGTTAAATATAGAATGGTTAGTATGCAAAAACTTACCCTGGGTTACATGAGAAGTAGATGTCTGAGGCAAATAATATGTCAGTTGGTATACTGATATGACCATTTTCTATTTGTCCAGGATCAGGACATGATCTTTCTAGAAGGCAGTAGAAATTTTTTTTTAAGTTATTAGACACATCTACGCAAATTCATCATCTGAACCACTGGTAATCTCTTATCCTGAGTCTGTTTAAATCCTACAGTCATTTTATAAGTTTCAATAAAGCAGCCTATTTAGGAATATATACTTCTTTCATTTCATTTATGGTAATCTTAAACTAATTAAATGTGAAATCTGTGCATCAATTAATATTCCTATCTCTCTCAAGTATTTAGCTTGCCTAATTATAACAAAACTAGAGGCCAGATACATGAAAATCGTGCAGGGGTAGGGTCCCTAGGCCTGGCTGGCGATCAGGGCTGATCAGGGCTGATCAGGGCCGATCAGGGCTTTCCCGCTGCTGGCCAGGGCCTTCCTTCATTCTGCACCACCCCCTGGTGGTCAGCGCACATCATAGCAAGCGAGTGAACTCCCAGTCTCCAGGTCAAACTCCCAAGGGGACACTTTGCATATTAACCTTTTATAGATGACTCTAATCATTCTTTTTTTAAAAAAAAAATCATTCCAAATAATAATATGTACACACAGACTTCCAGCATGAATAAAGGATTAAATACTATTTTCCCAAATACCATACAAGTAAGAATATTCTTTAAAATTATACTCACTGTAGCAAAATACTTGTAGTGTGCTCCACGTATAATTCTGAAGGCAAGTTACTTCCGCTGATACGGAATGGTTCCTTGCGTAGCCCGGATTACACTCATATTCCACAACGAAACCCGCTGGGCGATAACTCACCGGGATAAAAATATCTTTCATAGCTGCATAAAGTACCTTGGGTGGAAGACTACAGGTACCTAAAAAAAAGTATTACCAAACCAACAACAACAAAGAGTCATATCACTTTATTTTATAATCCATATTTAATGATTGGAATTATCTGGTCTTTATATCTCCTCCTTTTGCATACTTCTTTGTACATATTTGGCACTTAGCTATATTAATATCCATAGGGCATTTATAGGGCATCAAGCATATTCAAATGTATGCTTTTGTTTCCTAATGACTAAAGGCCTGTGAAGTAGATGTCACTAGGCCCACAATTGGAAGACTATAACCTGTTTAAGTTGCATGGCGCAGTTCCGGCACCAAGTCAATAAATGCAGGTTGCCTTGCCCTGCCTGCCCCATGTAGCGCAGGGGTAGATGAAAACCAATATTCCCACACCCCCGGGCTAATGTCCTGGACAAGGGCAACAATCGTAACAATAATCGCTAATATTTGTGGGATACTTCTAAACGTTTGCTGCAAGCAAACTCATTCAATCCCACAGCAACCTACTGAGGCAAGGATCACAGGAGCCAACGTGTACATTCAAGTATTTACAAACTTGAACCAGCTTGGCAAACATGACTTTATGGAGGCATGGGACAGTTGGATTTATTGTCAAAATACTCAAGTTTGAACCCGGGCTCTTCTGCATAAGAGCTGCTGATCTCAAGGGAGTTAACGTCTCAGGACCTGTTTTCTCAACTGTAAAAAGAGGTTGAGTGCCTACTGACCTCATGGAATTGTCTGAAGGATTAAATAAAGTAACATAGGTGGTAGAGTTATAAACTCTGTAACAGGATACATGTGCAAAGGCTTATGTACTTCAACCTACTGCCTTCTATCACAGATAAGTTTTAAAAACAGTTAAAGCCCATTTAAAAAAATATTTGTGGTGGCAGTTTCTATGTGTATGTAGCTTCCAACGCTCCAAACTTGTTCAAAGGCAGGAATCAAATCTCATCTTTATACCTTCTTGTACATGTCAAAACTACTATTGGGCCATCCATAGGTTTTGAGGGACAGATAGTGACATTGCAAAAGTGGCACCCCAGTGTTGTACTTGGGAAGTCCTTCTTTAGGAAATCCAATTTCAAACAGAGCACCCATACTATGCGTCTCAATGCAATTGCCCAACATGTTCATATTTAATTTATTCCCTAAACAACAACAGTAACTATTGGTTATTTTCTGTTAGTCAGTTCAGGAGATACCGTGTGGGGAGCAGGAGGGGGCTGTTCATGAAGAAGCAGGATCTATTCCTGGAAGTAATACCATTAACTAGCTGGTGTGTGAAGTGCTAGCAGGTATATCCTGGGGTGTAACAATGCCAGAAAAGTATCAATTGCCAGTCCCTGGGAAGAGGGATATATTTCCCCTTAAGAGGATACATTTCATTCTAACTTTTAAAAAATATGCTTTTATTGATTTTTAAAATATTTTTAGAGAGCGGAGGAGGGAGAGGGAGAGAGAAACACCAATGAGAGAGAAACAAACGGAATGAGCTGCTTCCTGCACATCCCCTACTGGAACTGAGCCTGCAACCCTGGCATGTGGCCGCACTGTGAACCAACCAGCTACCTCTTGGTGCATGGGAGGAAGCTCCAACTACTGAGCCACACCGGCCAGGGCCCCCTCCCTTTTCTAAAAAGAAAGGAAGAACTTACGATTACAAAATGGTGCCAGCTTCGTCCATTCACCGTTCGGAAGACAGTGTTTTCCGCTCAGCGCTCCCCTCATTTTCACATAACCGCGATCGCAATAAAATCCTACTATGTATCCATCAGGAAAAGTTGTACGATTTTCCAAATCTGGTGTAGCATTTGGTACATCATCTGGGGGGATACCACAGTCACCTAGAAATGAAAAAAAAAATGGAACTAAAGAAAAGACCACTTTTCAATGGATAGCAACATTCCCTTCCCCACGCAAAGGGAAGCAGCCATGGCTTTTGATACACACGTAGCATTTCGATCCAGTGCCGACTGACGACATCCCAACAACTTGCTAGGCTTCCAATCTTGACGATGAATTCAAGGCTAAAATCAGTCGAGAATAAATCCCTCCCCTCCGTTATTTTTTGAAGTGGTTTAGTATTTCTCTCCACTTAGATACGGTTGCTAGGCGCACAATAAAGACTGGGTCCGGGTTGGAACGTTACACCTGGAGATGTGCAATTAAAGGTGTAGCTCCAGGTGTGGTTAGGGGCCCGCGGGGTCGGTTATGTGGCCTCCCACCCTGAAAGAGATGTTGGGGGGTTGACAATCCCTCCAGCCCAGCCCTGCCTTTCTGCTTCTCAGTGTTGGCTGCTCTGCAAACTCAGCCGGTGCTTCCTCAGCCATCCGCGCCTCATGCTAAAGTCACTCCTACAGCCGTGCAGTTGGGGTCCCGCACAGCAAGACTCCTAATAGCTAACTTTTTAAAAATATATATATGTTTCATTGACTTTTTTACAGAGAGGAAGGGAGAGGGATAGAGAGTTAGAAACATTGATCAGCTGCCTCCTGCACACCCCCCCCCCCCACACACACACACACACACTGGGGATGTGCCCGCAACCAAGGTACATGCCCTTGACCAGAATCAAACCTGGGACCCTTCAGTCCGCAGGCCAGCGCTCTGTCCACTGAGCCAAACCAGTTAGGGCAGGAGCTCTCATCTTTAAAGGTAGAGGATGTCAGGGGACCATTACCAACGCCCATACCCTTCACCTTCCCAGGGCCCCAGACTTCGCGGTTGTCATGGAGACTGACCCAGCCCCTCCCACTCAGGCTAAGGGCTCACCCCGCTGGCCTGGGTCCGCGGCCCCCACTCACCCCGCGCCGCGTGTGGACACAACAGCAACAGGAACAGCAGCAGCGGCAGCAACGACAGGGTCAGCCAGCCGGGGGGGCGCAGCACTGCGGGGGCGCCCCTCGGGGCGGGACGCATGGCGGGGAGACGGGGACCCAGCGCCCGCACTCGGCAGCCTCTACAAAGAGATCCAGCGGTTCCCGCGTCCAGCTGTCGGTAGCCGCCGAGCGCAGTTGTCCTGCAAATCAATTTAAATTAGCGCCCTGGGTGGCTCCAGGGCTCTGAATCACCAAAGGGTGGGGCAAAGAGCGGCTGGAGACGGGGCTTTGCCCGGGGCAGGTGCTGGGCGGAGCCAGGGCGGGGCGCCAGCGTCACTGGCCCCTTGGGGACCCTTGACTGTGGACCAGGGATCCTGGGCCCGGAGACCAGGTCTCTGGAGCCGGGCGCTGGGACTTTTCCCCTTTGCTCGGGTGGGGCCTGCGACGAGCTGCCATCCGGAAAAGTAAAGATCTGCTTTCTAGGTAAACAAAAATATTGGGGGGAACAGAGGAGAGGGGAGTGTTTTAAGCGGCCAGGCTTGGCGCCCCAGGAACCTGATCAGAGGACCTTAGGCGCCCTGGTGCTGCAAAGCTGAGCGGCAGGCGCGCGCGGTGCTGATTCCGAGGCTTGGAGCTGAGAAGGAGGTCCCCCTAGCCCCCCACCCCACCCCTCCACCCCCGCCAGGGACGTGGTTCCTGCTAATAGGGAGGGCCTGTCAGATGCCAACAAGAGCGCAGGAGAGACCAGGGCGCGGTGCGTAGTCTTCCAGGGCGCTTGGCAATTGGAGAACAGCAAGTGTGAAAGGAAGTAAGAAGCAGGTGGAGCAACACAGCGGGGAGGGACTGTTGCTCAGACCAGGTTTGGGCGGAACCGCTTTCCTGCCAGCGCTCTCCTTATTTCCCAGGAGCACCCGGGCTGGTGAATTCCACTTTGGGAATCCTGACTGCAGGAAGAAATTCACCAGAGGTGGGGCGGAAACCACGCGCCAGGAAGAGACATGACAGGGCGGTGGATTTTAAAAGGAAGGTTTGCCAGAAGGTCTTAAGTCTATGCCGGTGGTTTGGGTGGCTGGCCACACACTGGAATGAATCACAGGAGAAGCTTTTTTTTAAAAAAAAATCCCAATGTTCCAGCTACACCTCAGCTGGATTACATGAGAATGGCTGGGGCATCAGGACTAATTAAAGTGGTTCTGGTAAGTAATGCCACTGTGCAGCCAGGTGGAGAATACTGATTTAGGTGGTACTGGCCACAGTACAGAGCCACTGAGCCCAGCACTGTGCCTGTCAAGCACTAAAGGACATCAGTGGAAAGGCCAGATGCTCACATTCATGGACAGTAACCTCAAGAACTTGTTTCCCTTTAGTAATTTACCTGAGTCTGGTTAGCAGAGTCCTAGCCTAGCTTTCCCGTGTGTGCCTCAAACACCTTACCTGGGTACGTAAACTCCCAGGCTTGGAATTATGCCTTAGTCCCTGGGCCATGCATCCTGTCATGATATTCTTTCTGAGATGCTTCTTGGTAGTTCTTGGTGGGTTAGTACGAGCTTTATGAAGAGGAAAACAGCACTTTCCAACAGGAGCGTGTTTCTCTGAGCATGCTTACTTACTCTGAACAGACCCTGGGTCACCCAGTGCTGGAACTGATCCGTTAGGGATTCCAGGAAAGGAACTTCTATAATTGTTCAGAAAAGCCTGTCAGTATTAAACATGCTAGCATATAAAAGTTGGCTTTTAAAATCATCTAGTGTGACTCTCACATTTTATATTAAACTACTTTACTTTTACTTTCATATCCTATATAATAAAAGCCTAATATGCAAATTGCCTCCTCGACTGGGAGTTTGACCAGGGAGTGGGGCCAACCGGCCAACGGTGGGAAGGGAGACCCTGGCTGGCATCCAGCAGCTGCTAGGGACCCTACCTGTGCACAAATTTCGTGCACTGGGCCTCTAGTTTGATATAAAAACACTAAGTTTATCAGGGCCCAGCTGTATTTTAGAAGTGATACCAGGGCTTCATTTATTCTCCCTAAGAGCCTCCCAGGACCTTGCCTACCAGACCCTGTGGCCAGGCCATTATGGGCAGGTAGTCTTTGTTTCTGTTCGAGCTCATAGAATTGGTGTGAAAGGCAAGGATGCATCATGACAAGGAGCTGAAGGTCAAGATCAGTCATGGAGCTGTCAGAAGACTTAACTTTAGAGATATGTATTTATTAAGTGAATGAAATAGCTGTTTTTTTATTAACCCAGAAAAGGAAAAACAATGAGCTTTGCAACGTGTCAAAAAAATTATCTCTGTCACCCAGCAACACTGAATGCTCTAAGCATTCACTTTCCAAAACACATGGTTCTTGATAATACATTGAAAAAAAGGAAGTTTTACAAGAAATAACTGGGTGGACTCTTAGTAACACTTATGGCCACCCCCAAAATTTCAACATTCTGAGGGCAAAAGAAAAATGAGAAATACACTTCTTCATTTACTCAATTCAGATAAAGCTTCTAAGATGAAAATGTATGCATTATTAAGAAACATTAAATATACAAATTTGTAACTTACTAAGGATTATTTCATATTAATGACCTCAAATTGTTGTGGTTTTAATCACTTCATATACATTTTACCTTTTCACCAACACAACTTCACGAACTGGGAATAATTGCCCACATTTCATAGATGAGGAAACAAGCCGAGAAGTTAATTAACCAAAATCTGAGCAGCTCATTAAGTGACCAGGCCAGAATCTAAATCCAATTTGTTTGATTCCAAACCTGTACTTACCTCTTTTACTCTACCACACTGCATTCTTTTTTTAAAAATATATTTTATTGATTTTTTACAGAGAGGAAGGGAGAGAGATAGAGAGCTAGAAACATCGATGAGAGAGAAACATCGATCAGCCGCCTCCTACACATCCCCCACTGGGGATGTGCCCGAAACCAAGGTACATGCCCTTGACCGGAATCGAACCTGGGACCTTTCAGTCCACAGGCCAATGCTCTATCCACTGAGCCAAACCGGTTTTGGCCACACTGCATTCTTTTTCCTGCAGTCAGTCAGCAAAGGATTCTTCTACATGGAGGACACTGAATGAGGTATTTTGGGCGGTTGCCTTGGGAACCAAGTTCCTTCTGCTGTCAACAGTACGTAGACCTGAGTCTTCATACTTAATCTACCAAAAGCCAGCTATGAGTTCTAAGCCCAGCCACCCTATCCCGCAGGGTTTCATTTTCACATGGGTTAAGAAAGAGTTTAGAACTAAAATCATCTCTGTAGAGCTTTCCAATTCAAAAATGATAAATTTAGGCTAAAAAGTAATAATAATAGAGGATTGGTCTATGCTTTTGGCAGAAAATAGTTGACACAGCTTTCACCCCTGTCTCAGGAACTATACAGTGACTACATCAAAGGCTTTTAATAAATTGGAGATCATCTAGTATTCAGAAGCACAGTAAGGAAGGGCCAATACTTGCATTCAGGAATCTCTAATTGTGATATATAAGAAATTGTGGTTTTTAAGAAATGTATATTGAGTCATCCAGACCATCTAAATATATTTCTTATCAATATTTGTTTTTTGTCCACAATTCCTGGCTCCCAACTCTCGGGAACTCTTGGAATTTTCTAAGCGTTGAGACTGAAAAAGTTGTTTTCTTAAAAAATATATTTTAAATATATTTTTATTTATTTCAGAGAGAGAGAGAAAGAGAGAGAGAGAGAAACATCAATGATGAGAGAGAATCATTGATCAGTTGCTTCCTGCATGCCCCACACTGGGGATTGAGCCTACCACCAGGGCATGTGCCCTGACTGGGAATCAAACCATGACCTCCTGGTTCATAGATCAACACTCAACCACTGAGCCATGCCCGCCAGGCCTGCAAAAGTTGTTTTTTGTTATGTTAAATGAGGTGACTTTTGGACTTCACAAAGGAATGGGGCTGGTTGCCAATGAACCAACCATGTGATTAGAGGGTTAGAATTTTAAGTCCCACGTGGACCTCCAGGAAAGAGAGGTTAGAGGTTAAATTAATTACCAATGGCAATTATTTAATCAATCAGAACTGCAGTGAAGCCAACATAAAAACTCAAGAGGATTGGATTCGGGAAGGTTCAGGTTTGGTGAACGCGTATTGGTGCCAGGAGAGTGGTACAGTGGAGAGGGCATGGAAGCTCTACCCGCTCTGCCTTATACTTTATGCATCTCTTCCTTCTGGCTGTTCCTGATTTATATCCTCTTATAATCAACCAGTGATCCAATAACTAACAGGTTTCTCTGAGTTCTGTGACCCGATCTAGCAAATGAATAGAACCCACAGACGGAGTTGTGGGAACCCCTGACCTATGTCCAGTTGATTAGAAGCACGGGTAACAACCTGCAGTTGGCACTCTCAAGTGGAGGGGTTTGTTGGAACCTCCAATCTGTTGGTCAGAAGCACAGAAGCCCGGGCTTGCTGCTGTCATCTGAAGTGTTTGTGTCTGGAGGGAAGGTCAGTCTTGTAGGACTGAATCCTGAACCGGTGGATTTCGATGCTATCTTTGTCTCTAGGTAGTTAGTGTCAGAGTGGAAGTGACTTCTTGGACACCCTGCTGGTGTGCAAAAATTGTTAGTATGGGGGGGGGGGGGAGGTGTTCTTGTAGGACTAAATTCTTAACCTGTGTGATACCATGCTATCTCGGGTAAATAGTGTCAGAATGCTGAGAATTATTTGTTGTTGTTAATGTAACACCTCCACCCGCTTTTCCATGCAGAAATTGGGTCAGGGAATTTACTTTAATAAATTCTACCAGGGAGGTTTTATGTGATAAATGTTATGGAAATGCCTCAACCAATGTAGTGTGTGTGTGTGGGTGTTCAGAAAAGAGATAAAGAAACCTGGCCAATTAGAGTGGAATAGGCTAATTCGTGGTCTAGTGGCCTGGCTAAATAATGACAAATATGTCAATGCAATAGGGAAAATAGGAAAAGAAATAAGAATGTTATGGCAAAGCTTTGGGGTGAGGAAAATGTCAGTGGATATCAGGAAAGGTAAGGGATTACTTTAGGCTGAGCAGGGGGATTTAACATGAGCGATGGAAGAAGAGGCTGCCAAGGTATCTGAGAGAGCCTTCCACACAATGCAGTTTCCATCAGGTAGAAGCATTGGGGGGAGGGGGCTGATGAAGATTTTAGCAGAAAGTAAAAGGTTATTTGGGGAGTTGTGTGCAAGATGCTGCATAGGGAGAGGCCCTGCAAGCAAAGACCCAGAAATGCCTTTAATTTTAGTTTTAAAATTAATAAATCTGTATGAAGGAAACAGCCTGGTCAGACACAACTATTAGAGCCACTTGTGTTTCCATGCCTGTCTTTATCAAAGAAATTTGGATGGAAGGACCTACAGAATTTGGTGACTGATTAGATAAGGAACAAGAAAAAAAGTGGTAAAGATGACTCAGAGTTTTGGGGTGTGTGAGACTAGGGGCCCTATTTTGAAATGCAGGAAGAAATAGCAAACGTGGCTGTGTGGTTGTTGTTGATTTAAAATGCCTTAGCAGGGCGTCTGTGTGGAGATGCACAGCATGAGATGGAAATGTTGGAGGAGACATAGCTGAAAGCGAGGTAACCAAGGGAGAGAGTTAAACAGAAACTCCAAGAGGCCCAAGGGGTGAGCCCTGGGGACCCCCAAATTAGACTATAATGAAGGGGAAGGAGAAGGTAGTAGAGAGAGAAGAGGATAATGTGATTTCCTGTAAGTCCATGGATACAAAACTGTGAGCCAAATAGTATCACCCACCA